AAAAAAAAAAAGATCCAGCTTCACAGAGCATACGATGAAATCAAAAAACGACTTAAAAACTGATAGAAAAAAATCCTAGTTTTCTTTCATTAATATAGTGCAATGATCATCGTAAAATGCTTGCAAGGAACTAAATTGATTTTTTTTAAAAACCTGTTTCTCATTTACTGGTTAACTCTATACAGATTATATACAAGAAATCCACTTCTTTATAGGAGAAGGAAGTAGCTAAACTGAATTTTTGAATTTTTATTTAAAATATTTTCTATGTATCTATATTACTTTTTTCTCCTCTCCAAAAGATGGAAAGCCTTTAAAACAACGTTTGACTGCGAACATCATTACCTATTACAATTTTGACTGTATTCCTGTCTACTTACTAAGGGAAGGGAGTGAGTGGTAAAACTAGTCAGAAAGCATGCTGGTCACAGTTATCCTTCTGAACTAATGAGAGCTCGTCCCTGTATTTGTTAATTACATGGTCCAGTCTGTGCCGCAAAGCAACCTGTGAATTCAGGGCAGCAGAGAGGCAGGCCAGGAGGCCACGCCCAGCTCCCATCCCCTCTGCCACCCCACCCAACCCCCTGCAGGGTTGCGCCGCTTTACTGCGGAACAGGGATGCAACTGCACCACCGCGCACATCTTCGCAGACTGCTGTTGCTCCCCCACCCCGCCCTCCAAGTGCCCCACCTCCTCCCGTGCAGCCTCCCAGGAGCCAAGTTCCACTCCCCCTAACAGCCTCATCTCCGGTCTCCACTCCCCAGGCGCGCCCTCAGCTCTCCCCCATCCTAACTCGATCCTGCAGCCCCCGCCCCGCCCCCGCCGTTCACCCGGCGCCGTACCTGCATAGCACTAATGTCGGCGTTCTGCTTGTCCTCCAGCTCCTGCAGCTGCTTCTCCAGCGCTTCGTTCATGCCCCGGCACGCTTCGATCTCCAGGGTCTTGGCCTTGAGCAGGCGGCGGCTCTCGGACACCTCGTCCTTGGCGGCGCGCACCGCATCGGTGTTCTTGGCGGCGCTCTCGGTCAGCACGGTGAAGCGGCTCTTGAACCACTCTTCGGCGTTCTGCATGTTCTTGGCGGCCAGCTTCTCATACTGGGCGCGGATGTCCTTGAGCGCGGCGGAGAGGTCGGGCTTGGTGGACACGTCCATCTCCACGGAGATCTGGGCGTACTGGATCTGCGCCTGCAGCTCGGCGATCTCCTCTTCGTGCACCTTCTTCAGAAAGGTGATTTCGTCCATCAGGCTGTCGATGCGCTTTTCGAGCTCGGCGCGGGCGAGAGCCGCCTCGTCGGCCCCTTTGCGCGCCTCCATCAGCCGGCCCTCGGCGTCCTCGCGGCTCAGCACCTCCTCCTCGTAGCGCGCCTGCAGGTTGCGCAGAGTCTCCTCCAGCCCCTCGCGCTCGCCCTGGAGCGCCTGCTTCTCGTTGGTGGCGTCTTCCGCCGCCAGGCGCAGGTCGCGGATCTCCTGCTCGTACAGCGCCCGGAAGCGGGACGGCTCGGAGTGCTTCTGGCGCAGCACCAGCAGCTCAGCTTCCAGGACCTTGTTCTGCTGCTCCAGCTCGTGCACGCGCTCGATGAAGCTAGCGAATCGGTCGTTGAGGTCCTGCAGCTGCGCCTTCTCCTGGGTGCGGATGGACTTGAGGTCGTTGCTGATGGCGGCGACCTGGCTCAGGTCGAGGTTCTCGAGACTGGGCATCAAGGAGCCGGAGCTGGAGGAGTAGCTGCGGCGCACGGACAGCGAGGAGGAGACGGGCGCCGAGTAGCTGGAGTAAGCGGAGCGCGCGGTGCTGTAGCCGCTGCGCACGCTGGAGATGTGCACCCGGGGCGTCTCCACGTAGCGCCGTTTGTAGGAGGTCGAGTAGTACGGCTCGTAGCTGAAGGAACTCATGGTGGCGGTCGGTGTCCCCAGGCCGGCGGCGGCGATGGGGGCCTAGAGAGAAGAACGAGGGAGAGAGGGAGAGGGAGGGATGGATGGCTGTGTGCGGCTCGGCGCGGTCCTGCCACCCCTATTTATACTCCAGAAGGACTCTGACGCAGCCTGCGATCGATCACGGCGCGCCTGGCCGGTGGGGGCAGCGCGATGCTGCAGCCAAGGGGCGGATTCTGCGCAAAAGGAAGGCGGGGGCGAGCCACAGGCCGCGGGGAGGCTGCGGCTCTCGTCCTTTGCACTTTTCTCCGAGGCCCTCCGTTTTCTCCGAGACCCCGTACCCCCTCACTCATTCCTTCTCTACTCCCACCCCATCGTACTTGTTCCTTGACCCCCTAACACTCAGATTTGAGTGTGTCTCCTATAAAAGGTCCTCACTCCCTTCTGACACCTTAGTTTTCCATATCCCTGTACCTCGGAGACACCCTCCCCTCCTGACTCGCCCCTTCCCCACCGGGGGGTCGTCATCCCCTTGGTGTTCATGGTGACAGTGCTGTACCTCTGGGGCACTGGAGATACAAATGGGTGGCATGTGTGCGGCATATATGGGGGAACGTTTTGTATTTCTTACTAAACGTTTCTGGCACTTTCTTGAATTTATGGCCCTTTCTCTTGGTGATTTTTCTTTTTCTCCAATGCGCTTCTTACACACACACACACATACACACACACACACACACACACACACACGCGTGTGAAACTGCAGCTCTGCAAGTGTTGCTTTTAGCATTTCTAAACACAGAGCAGCTCATATCAGCCTTTCAGTGTTCCTAGATTTTCTCATTCCTTTCTGGGGAGCGTGTTGCATCCTGGAGGTGGAGGAGAACCGAGAATGAGTTTGAAACTAGCCGGGGAGGAAACCGACTTGCCAAGGCAGCGGCGAACTCTGCGGAGGGGAACTTCAGGCTGTCGCACGCTGCCTGTGTCTGCTTCGTCAGCCTTAATCCCTGCTCGGCATCGCCTGGCCCATCACACTAAAAGCCCCTTTCCCTCTTTTGCCACCGGGCAGCACCCAACCTGATGATTTCAACGAGCCACGCAGGTGGCTGATTTTCAGAGGGGAGCTGCTGCCGCCGCCCCGAGCACGAAGTGTGTCTCCCGAGAGCAGAGCTCAGCCCCGAGACAGCTCGTTCTGGGGCGGACAGAACATAGCCCTGTGGTTCTTCGCCCCGGATTCACTCCAATGAATACACAACAGGTACAGTCCGAAATCCATGGCTTTCCTTTTGGAAACATCCAGGTCCCTGAAACACTGCACGCCGTAATGCACACTAATACGGCCCCTGCGGTTTACAAAGCATTTCCACTCACATTGTGTTAGGGTGTCCTCCGGTTTCAGGGAGGGATCGCAGAGATGTACACAGGACACCTAACGATTTTCTAAGCAAGCTTTTAACTTTTGTTTTATTTGTGTAAGAGTAGCATTTGATGCACAAAGTACTGATTTTTTTTTTTTGAAAGAAGCAAGCGCAGGGAAACATGACAGTTTTCAAACTGAGAAGCCGGGATCGCTTTCCCGGTGATGCTGAGAAAGCTAAGGCTTGGAGCAGACTCCACAGTTGCTCCCGGAGGAACCGCAGTCCTCTCCCGGCGACAGGAGGATGGGATGAGGCTTAAACCCCTGAGGTCCTTTGTGACTCTAAGACATCTTTCCCTCTTCGTGGTAGGGGAAAGAATGCAGCTGAGAACTTGCATGGGGTTTCTAAACAATCTTTATGGTCTCAAATAAATGCAAGTTCATTAACATCAACGTGGGTAGCTCAAATCTATCAAGAGGTCCATCCACACTCAGTCACTCTAGAATTTCAGGCCGAGGCTGTCCTGATTTTGCTCGGCCCTGGCAGATACGGTAGCACGCTTATTCAGATGACTTTATAGCCGACATAGCTTTGGTCTCATTGATCAGTGATTCAACAGTGGGAAAGGCTTCTCTGGGGAGAGGAAGAGGGGAGGGTGAGACCCTAAGCAAGCTGTAGTCTTGTCTGCTCCCAATTACCCACATGTGGATGACAAGTGACAGAATGGATTTTTCTTTTAACCTGCCTCATATAAACTATATAGTTTCACCCTCGCTGTGTGAGTCTGCCTACACTATACTCTTAGGTATTCATGCACTCATTTCCTCTGTGCCAGCTCCCTTCCCTCAGTTTCAGGTCACCCTCAGAGATCTTAAGTCCATCAGCATTTTTGCCAAGGCTCCTCCTGGCCAAAGCCTTTGACTGCGGAGCAGGCTGCTCAGAAAGAGGGAGGTGGCTGGTGGATGCTGCAGGGATGGTGAGATGCTGCGGAGAGAAGGAAACTGTGGGGCATCTGCTGTGGTCCTCTGGACAGCAGGAAAGGGAGGCAGCCTGGACTGGTGGAGGGTAGGAACGAGAAGGCAGGGACCTTCCTCCCCTTTGCTGAGCCTGGTGAAAGAGGCGTGGGGAGAGGGGCAGATCTACTACATTTAGGAATGAAGACCCATGGTCTAGTTCAGTCGGTCCTGGCACGGTCACTTCATTCTCCACTGCAGCCTTACGTTAGGGGGGCCCCTGGACCCAGCCCTCATCTACCTTCAGCCTTCCTCTCCTGGGTATCTGCTGCTTTTTTTTTTTTAATATTCTGTCCAGTCATCCTCCTTTTGAACTCCTCTCCCCAGCATTTTGCTCTGAATGCCCACATAGCATTTGCTTTGTGTGTCAAAGCAAAGGAGGAATGAGCAATTCAGAAAATCTGTTTTTTAAAAAAAAAAGAATTTTGATTTTCCTTCTCTTACCATAACCGTATCTGCATGAGTGTTGTTGGCAGTGGTGCCGTAATTTTTTTTAGAAGAAGAAGGCTCTTTGGTCTTGTTACACACTCGTGCATTTATTCCCTTTAAGCGTATTCTCCACCCACATGAAACTGGTTGAGGGCTGCCAACAAAACACACCCCTAGAAGATAAAAAATTATTTAAAAAATAAATATACAAGTATGTTGATGAAACTCATTCATAGACTTTCTACTACTCTGGCTATCCCTAATAGCTCTGTAATTCCCCTAAAGGACTATGTGAAGTAGTTTAGTTCAAAAGTTAAATATATTAATATTACCATGAGCTCATAAAATTTAACTCTTAGAACCACTGAAAAAAATTACTCCTCTAGTGCCAAGAAAGTCAGAAGCTTCAGATGGAGAGAACCTGGTGACTTTCATTTCATTATTCTAAAAACCCTTTGACACAC